ATAGGCGCAAATAGTGTTTAAGAATTGGGGAGGGCTGAAGCTCAGGTCCATACTTCTAAAAAATCTTTAAGTTTTCTTTGGGGGGGGGCTTACTCCCACTCTTTGTGCTGTGCTTCTTTTATTAATTGTAATTATTTGACATTATGACCAATCGCTATATTGTTATCTATAATACTAAAGTTGTTCAACGAGAACTGATCATACTTTAGTTATTCGCGTACGTAGATTATACAATTATTTTGCGGTTGCATGAACAATCACTTGATTCAACGAATCAATAGTGAGCTAATGGTCCCTTAAACATAATTTGGTGGCCCATTATTGGTCCATTAAATTTTATTGAACCATTAAATTAATATATTTTTCATGCGACCCAGCATTAGTGTATCATTTTTATAAATATGTCATGTTTTTAACGCATTATTATATCTATAAAATAAAGATATAGCATGTTCATGTAATTGGGCTCGTTCCGTATTTAAATACAAATAAATAACATAATAATGTAATCAATATTTACTTTGTATTTTACAAAGTATGTATCTGTTAGGTATTTTAATATGCCAGTAAAATAAATTGTGTGTATTTTGCTAGCAACGGTTGTAAAAATAACTACCTATCTCTTCTACAAAGAACCTGAAAACATGCCATGAAGTGTGTTTTAACTCAGGAAATCCTCAGGAAATGGGTGACAAGTTTTTTTTTCAGATCAGAAATTATGAGGTTCACAAATTTAATTACAAGGCTCGTTCTATTAAAATTATGTCGCACCTGCACACCACTATAAATATACACTCGGACACGACGTGAAAAAATAGATTAATAGAAATTTAAAGTCCAAACAGCAAGACGGATGTAGAGAAACAACGTGTAAAGATTACAGAGACTCGCGGATAACTGCCTGGCAATATATCGTATACAATTTAAACCACGGTCGCAGACCATATACCACGGTTGAGGTGGTACTACGGTAGAGATTGTACCACAGTTTATGTGACCACCGACCATATGGTTTAAGTTACTCATGAGTAGATATAGCCGAGATAGTTTCCGTTGGTCAGTCACTCAGTCCTAATTAAAATCTAAAGCAGCTATACCAGCCGTTTTTTTCGACGTCAAATCGGAAATTCTCGATCAGCGTTTCCCTTGCCGTTCTCGAATGCGTAAAGTGTTGTACGTTGTGACGATATTCCGTCGAAAGGAATTAATTTTAATATTCAAGTGTGTATCTATAAGTGACTCATCACTTACTGTCCGACCAAACGTGTCGCCAGTTTCCATAGTTTTAAATGCGGCCCATATGGCGCTTCATAGTAAGACGTACATCGTACACGTGTATTATTCATATGTTCTTCGCATTAGAAAACCTCAACGACTGTTCTTCAAGGTGCATTGTAGTTACATCTAATAATCGACGTGCGAATAGTTTTTAGAACCCAAATTTTTGTGTCATACATCAATATATGTTTATTTTTCTTCGTTGAACTTGTTTTTTCGATTTAAGTATGTAATAAGCATACAACTAGTTTGTAATGTGAAAATTTACTTTTACAAAGACAGTGGTGTGAAAATTCTATACATCAGGTACACCTCTGTATACTTTATAGATATACATGTGTTTATCTATCGCAAAGTGACTGATATTATTTGAAGGAATATTAGAAATACCTACTTATAATAGACCACGAAGCTCGACGTCTGGAAATGTAAAAATATTTCGTTGGATTTTGTAGACGATTACAACGTTCATACTGTAGGATGTGACGGCGGATATCCATCATCGTTTTAGCCATCTTGTGTATACATATTATATGTATATATTTTATTATCACCTGTGCAGTTCATTTCCGTTAAGCCTTTTTATTACGACTATCAATAATGCTTTCAGCGGTTATCGAAGTGTGGCATTTGTCAACGCTATTTTCGACGACAATATTTCAGAAATCGGCTTATTCAATCTTCAGTCTGTACTCGCACCGATTCCGTTATATAATATATAATATATGTATACATAAATGAGAGTAAATACATTTTCTGAGCATCTCCTGTTCTGAAGTACCATTTATTGTGAATTTAATACGGTTAGATACGGGTAGGTAGGTACTTATTTATATAAGGTAGGATACCTATAAACTTACGCAAATTCAGATGTGCTGTTTATCGATTTCTATTTCTGCGAACCGTAATAAAATGCAGCGCCAAGTTCATAATTATTTTAATATATTGTTTGTCGTATTTTGGTAATGAGAGTCATAATGTGAAGCACAAAAAGTAATAACATTTTATTAAATCTTTGTTATTTCTATGATAAATAATAAAAAATACCCCACGTTTTTTCAGTTTTATCAAAGACTTACTGAAAAGACTTGTATTCAGTATAAATTAGTAGAATACGGTAATCCACTGAGCACATTGTTATATAATTGCTTCTAAATTTTAATTTATATGGTTTGTTCTGTGTAAATATTAAATAGTTATCTGCATAATATAATACAATTAAGAATCAAGTAATTTAAGTTTCATTTATGATAAATCCAATGGCGCACAATAATAATTTTGTATACATTAATACACTTATAAATCACTCTCGAAAAATCATTCTTAAAAATATAATGTATACATTGTAGTAAAAATAAAATTAGTAACTTAACGTTACGTACATAAAATAAAAATAAAAACAATTGTTTTTTAAGATTAAAGTATTCAAACTCGTGTAATATTTGCTTAACTGATGATTGTATAAAACTTTGAACACAACTTAGCTTTTAACTTATGATTTACTTAAATATAAATCTAAAGATATACCAGTCGATGTAAGATATACCAAACAAATTTAATAGCAATACCTTTCATAAACAATTACGTACAATTTTATATGAAATAAGAAATAATTGGCTAGCTAAATGTTATCAATTTTAGAGTAGATATCCTATTTTTACCTGAATTACATTTAAATGATTGCATGCATTTTCTAAAAGTTGCTAAAATAAAGCTAATTTTATAATTCATAGTAGGTACTTTAATGATGTAATAACAAAGCAATTTATTGTATTCATTGTAATATTATATTATTGTAAACGCTATGCATTTTTATATTATATGTGTTTATTAAGCGCATTTTGAGGTAATGAGTTGGTTATAATGACACCGAGGGAATAATTTAATATTAAAGAAAAGTTGTTGCAAGATTTAAACGAATGCCTTATGAAATTGTAACGATTTCAAAATTCTATTATCTTCAGAAGAGCTTTGATTGAGTAAAATAAGAAATTAATACCTTATGCGGGTGTACGAAATTACAGTTTTTGAAGGGATCGATTTTGGTAGAACTATATATAAGTAAAACATATAAATAAAGATGTGAAAATGAAAAATAAATTGGATAGAAATATATAAAGGAGACAAAGGAGAATGCTATGATGGAAATGAAAGGAAAATAATAAAAGCCATAACTCCAAGGTTCTCTCAAATATCTTTAATCCCAGGAATGTCAGAAAATTTAAAAAGCTAAAGATTTTATTTAAAGATTTCTCAAATGTCCTAATCCATGTAAATTAAACTGTAGAATATTAACCAGCATAAAAAATTCATTGACATTATTTTAGTCCCGTTATTATGAAGATAATTTTGATTGTGATGTAGGTACTCGTATTGTGTAAACATTAGATTTAATTTAATATTGATACATTTGTTAAAATACAGAATGAGAAACCACATTATGTAGATTTAGGCCCTCGTACAAGTCTAATTTACAAAATACAAATATATTGCCTGTTGTATAGTGTATTGGGTATTGTGTATACGAGATTCAGTGATTCATTTTTGAAATGATTTTATTTTATTTTACCTACAAGTATATTATTGTATATGTAAATAGAATCTGATCAATTTTGATCGAGAACATTCACGTGACCGTGTCCATATTTGACCAAAAATGATAAATGTTATTTCAATTGTATGTATGTAATACATCACAAAATGCTGACATGTATATAATATATAGATATGTATAATTTATCCTAATATTTACCAGATGACGGACAGGCGATTACATACAATATGTAACAGTTGAGCCTATATTTTACCCTTCAGTGATTTCTTTGGCATGTTATGATAACAGATAATTGATACTTTATATGATTGGTACTATAATTGATATGGTATTAGTACTACTAATACTAAACATAAATCATATTTTAAAGAAATTTAGTTAAGAGTAGTTATAATATAATATGTATAGAAAGTAAAGCTTAACTATTTGAACATACGTGATTCAATTGAAATTAAAATAATTATTTCAATATGTCAACGAGTATTTAAAATAATGGTATTGAAATATTATCATGGATTTATAATATTTATGTGCTCTTTCAAACTGATGCCGCAAAATGAAGATTTTGTAGGTACATACGTCAATATATTCAGCAATGTAATAATATTAAGCCGACAGCAAAAAACAACTAAAAGTTAGGTTACGTATGATAACGGTAGGTATTAATTATTTGTAAAACTGCTTAAAGTACAGGAAAAACGTGAATTTTTCTTGACTGTATTATTATATATTTTATCTCAGCTTTCAATATTTAGATGTATCGTTATATAAATGTGTGATCTATGCATTCGTGTTATTTCCTCTCAGCTTGAGCGTCCATCATTTATTGACTTATAGTCCACAGAATACTAATTCAGCTATACTGTAGGTGTCTGTAGTGTAATGAATGTTTTAAATTTGAATTCAATGATTTAAAATTGTATACGAAAAACACGGTTCAAATCGTTTGATGAGAAATCGTTAGTTTAAGGGTGAATATCCAGTGTCATTGAACAGAATATAATATATAAAATATTATATTACAATTATATTAAATATTTTACAGCGTTTTCGGGCTCACGGGTTAGGTTTCGACTGTTTGAGTTTCGTTTGTTGTTTTTTTGTCCGTCAGAAACGAAGCGACGCTATATAAAACAATATACAAATACTAATAATACATATATTATAGAAGAGCATCGCCATGTCACGTGGCTACTACAACGGTGGTTACAACCACGCATGCGAAGTGGACCAACACCACCGGTACGAAGAGATACCAGATATCGATCCTTCCATGGACTTCCTGCAGGCCGACGATACGTCCGCCTCGTTCTATTACATGGAGTCACCGACACGGTTGCGCAGGCCTTCGGACGCCGCGGACCCTGCCGAACGGACGTTGCTCCTGCGCGCCCAACAGCACAACCACTATCAACAGCTACAGCAACTGCAGATGAACGGGTGCCCGCCGCCGCTACCGGCCGCTCGAGTGAGGCGCAACACTCCGCCACCCGCGGCCGGCGGTGACCGGTCAGTGGCGGCCGTGACGCCGTGCAAGGCCAGACGCCGGTTGGACGTCTACGGTGACGAGTCGGGCTCCGTCAGCCTTCCGTCCACGCCGTCCGGAGCCGGCCGAACCGCCGACGTGTTCGCACCGATGATGGCGCAAACGGCGGCCGCGTTCAGGCCGGTCACCGTGCGCCGGGCCCGGTCGTCAGCCGCCCTCTACAACAAACACAAGCGGCCGCCCGAGTTCCTGTCCGAATACAATCTGGACACGTGCGTGCCGGCCACCGGCGTCCAGTACAACCGGCCCAGGAATACGGCCGTCATACAGCCCATCTACAATAAGACGCCCTTGCCGTCTGTGTTTCAGGTATATATTTTTATTGTTTATGATCAAACGAATCGATAATTGATATTGCTGCGAGTTAGCACTCTTAGGACGCTTGAACCCTTTAAAAATGACATGATCATTTCGGCTGAACCATCACACAGTATAATATCACAAATATGTGCTTACTACTAGTGCTCGCAGTTAAACTGAAGCCACCTTGTTCTTGATTTTTCGTCTTACGATTTGTGTTTGAACGCGAAGGCCAAAAATTCGAAGAGGATCTCGGTAGAAAGCGTATTTTGATAATTTTTTCAACATTTTTTTGGGTTGAAAATTAATTTTTGACAAATTTTACTTGAAAAGAATTAATTGATGAAAATTTTGTTGGGCTTTAACAATATATTTTTTGGTGGGAAGGAGGGGTAGGGAGTGGATTACAACCCCATAACTCAATACTCCACTGGCTATAACAAGTATATAACACTATTATATTAATGACATTTTTAAGACTTTTAAGTTTTAACCTAAGAATTGCGATTAAAATTATTATTTTAAAGTATCTCGTTGTACCTACTGATTTTTATCCAAACGATGATTATCATCCGGGAGGAAATTTGTGAATTTACATTATTCTCTAGCGGTTGGTGCAGAGCAATTTGTGGTGGTTATTAAATGTGAAATAAACCGAGCCTCAAGTAATAACGCTGTGTCACGCTATTCGTTGGCCAAAGCCAAAAGGTGTTTTCTATATTATAGATTATGCGGAGGGCTTTTGCGGGTATTCACTTGGCACCGTGACACTTAAATCCCGATTGGCTGAATAATATAACTGTGAGCGTGCTCTGCAACCTCGTAGGTTTGTGCTGTCTGCCGACATATTTCCGGTTATGCGGAAACAGCAGAACGCGCGTAGGCACATAAAAATCGTGCGATAATAATTGCAAGTACGGTTTTATGGACGATGGAATGATTATATAATGTACGAACAGCTAAGTGACGCATCTGTATCCACCACCCGCCCACTGGATATAATATATTATCGACGAGTCGCTCTTGCCGCCTGGGGATCGCGAACGACGACGACAAATCCGCATAAGCGATTTATTTTTATGCACCGAATATTGAACTGTACATGGTAATAATACAATTTAGAATATTCCTGCACAACCTAATACGAAACCGTTGTTGTTTGTCGATTATAATCAGTGCTCAACTTGGAACAATTTAAGTAGGGGGACACTGTTTAATTGTAAAAAAAGAACGTTTCCATCTGGTCATCTCTTGTTAAACGTTATTGAGCCTGGGACCTATATGCCAACACACCCTCTAATACCCTTATTTAAATCATATCAAAAATATTAATAAATAATCAATTTAAAAAAAATACAAATACAAATTAATATAATAGGTACCTAATTAGTAAATACTGGACATATTATATTAAATTTATGAATAATAGCAAACTCGAAATGATAATTAAAGTAAATAAATGAATAGTTTAGTAATAATTAGTTAATATTAGCTAACTTATAAATCCAGTGTTATGGAATAATAAATAAGACAAATTATCTAACCAATGAGTGTACTAGCGCCCCACGAGTTCCCGTTAAAAATAATAGTAGGGGTACGTTAAAATTCCAGAAGAATTAGTTGGGGTACACCGTCCCCCTGCGTCCACCCACAAGTCGAACACTAAATGTACCCTACGTAATTAGTACCCGTGCACTGTGACATTGTAACGTGTTCGGTGTATAATATCAAAATATTGGCGTGCGACGATCACGGGGTGCAGTTTTCACCGCGCTACGCTAGTTTTCGACGGCCGTATTAAAAAGTTTCTCATTTACACACACACGCACACGCACACACACACACACAAGTCATAATATATATATATAACAATAATAATATTACACGGGTCAGGTACCTATATACCATCTACGGCGAGGCGTGTGAAATACGAGTGCGGAACAGTATTAGTATACATATATATATATATATAAGGATATTACACAGGTATGTATACTCGGCGCCAGTCGTTATACGCATACAACACGCGTACCTATGTATTGTTGTCTGAACCTCACAAAAGTTTTCGGTATTTTGATTGCCGCAGCAGACGGCGATAACAATATATACACGTCAAACATATAATATACCTACGCTTTTAACGGGCGCGTTGTTCATAAAGTCATTTCCGAACGTCTCTCAATAATTAGGAAGCCAACTAAAACACACACACACATACACACACACACACGCACATTGCTTAGCATAATTATAATAATATATAGTTGATGCACGCGCGGCGGTATGTCGAGTAGATTTTCAATTATCTTCTGCCGCACGGAAAAGTCAACTCACTCCCGAATCGCGTATACATATTATATAATATTATTAAATTCGTTTTCGAGCGGATATAGCCGGCGGCGGCAAGTTCCAGCCGTTGTTTCATGTTTACCACTAGCCACGAGACCTTCGCCGGTTCCCGGGGACCACGGTATCATATTATAATAATATGATAATTCACAATATTATAACGTTAATGAATAGCAAACACGCGGTGGGTGCTGCGAAGGACTTTGGCAGGGTAATCGAACCGAAATCGAGCAGTAGGATGTATCAAAAGTTCGGTTGACTAACAGATTTTCGGGTGGGTACCTATATAGATGTAGAGAAATAACTTAAGGGTTGAATCAGCGAATAATAAAATACATTTGATAATCTTTAAAAGCGCCTTTAATACCACCCCCTGCTCACCCATACGTACTTGCACGTACAGCAGCTATGCCTCGGAGGATAAGGAAAAATCCTAACCATTTAACAATGTAGGTACACTATCTAATAATATAGTTCATAACCTATAACATTACCTTCCATAGGATAATAATAAATTACGATACGGAGTAATAAATAATAATACGTTTAACTGGTCATATTAAGTTATAAAAGTTCCTAGTCAAAGTCACATCGAAATATGTGTGTAACACTAATTTTTACAAAATTCAATCTATCAATATTACACCGGGTGTAGGTAATAAAAATAACTTTTAGATTTAATTGACCAAACATACAATGAATATTAAACTTTTCGTGTGATAAATTGTTTGTTTAAAAAAAAACTCATGTCTGTACGATTATTTGTCAAATCATAACGCGGAAGGGCAGTTAATATTAGTTACAATACAGCTGCATACCCGCCTTCAACACTCTCCAACCCATACGAGTGTGGCCAGCATAGGCAATACAGCAGTTGTCAAACGGTCAAATTCTGATCCATCAGATTCGACGATGACTGTAATATATATTTTCATGTTATTTGTGTTTTCACAGGTCGAAGAGAAAACGACGCCACATCAGGCCGAGTCGCCCGCCAAGCCATCGTGGTCGCGGACTCCGCCGGCCCGGACGCCCGTCCAATCGCTGCCCGTTTGCACGCTGTGGTCGGCCGCCATGGTGCTGGTGGTGTCAGGCACGGCCAGCTGCATGCTGTGCTTCTACCTCATGTCCCGGCGTGGCCGGCTGTACTATCTGAACGCCGGGCTACTGGCGGCCGCCGTGTGCCTGGTGCTCGGGTTCCCCGGGTTCCGGTCGCAGCAGTGGCGGTGGCTGCCCAACCGCAACTACGTGACCGGTTACATACTGGTGGCCATGTTTAGCGGGCTGGAGACGTGCGCGCTGTGGCTCATGTGCCAGAGCACCGTGCTGGACCCCGCGCTCAACGACATCGGGGCCGGCGTCGTGTGCGGCATATCCGCCCTGTCCGTCACGCTCGCCTGTCTGGGCATCAGCACGTCGTACTGTTGCCGGTACCCACCGCCCGACAATAGGGTCGCGCACGCCGTTGAGGGGTTCGTCGTGTAGACTGTGCAGGTGCACCACGGCATCCAATCACACCCATCCTCGGGATCAATGATCGGCTGTCGTCAAGCTAGGACTCTCGTTCGTTGTGTATATTTAGTTATTTTTTATTTCAAATAGGTATTATGTACAATACAAAACAGATTCGTTTATCGATACGTTTGTGACGAAGATTTCAAAATCAAACGAACACGAGCTTAATAATAAGTGTATATATTATAATAATTGTTAATAGGGGCGAATTATCGCGTCGATATTGTTTCCAAAAATTGTATTTATAAATTATAATAACTATACATGCGTTTGTATTATAGGACGCGTACTACAGTGTAAATAGATAAGAAATTAAGCCAGTTGACTTATAATAGGTAGTTATTTTAACTTATTTTTTAATTTTACAAAAACCATTAGGATGTTTGTTCTATGTTTTCTTTGTATTTTATCATACCTATTAAAGTTTATGTAACGTAAAAGCTATATTCTTTGAAAAAAAAACAACTTTTTCCTAAGTCAATCTTTGATACATATACAACTTAATCAATTGACTTAGTGCGTGACTTATCTACGAACTATAGTACATTAATACTACATTACAAAGGACCAACATTTTTTGCTTACATAATTATTTGTTAAAAATATTTTAAAGTATAATTGAATGTTTACCAAATGTGTGTACATAGTCATAATTCATATTGAACATAAAACATATAAATGTAATTTTTTTATTTAATTATTTCATTGACATACGCAGTATTATAAGTGTCGATAATACAGTCAATTAAATTTTTAAACATATATATATATCGTATGTACTTACGTTCAAATAATTAATTCTATGAACAAACTATATTAAGTCATTTAAATTTTAAATACATTTATTTAAGTACTTTCAGGACTTTCAATTTATATTTAGAAAAAAATAGTTATGTCGATTCGAAAATGTTATGTTTAAAATATGTAAAAACAAATTTTGATAATTTTAAAAAATGTCAATTTTGTTGCACTCATATTTTTCAATTCGTAATTTTATGATTTACTTAATGCCATTTAATGGCATCGAATATGTAATTAGAATACTCATAACTATTTAACTGTTTATGATAGTTATTACTTAAAAATGTAATTTTTAGTATTATTAGATATCCGTTTTTATTAAAGTTGTTGAGATTAAATGTCAATAAGTTAGTAAAAAAAAGGATAAATTTATTATATTATTTGTTCAATAATGTTTCAATGTTTATTTAATACACACGAGTTTATATTATTTACACTGTTTTGATATGATTTCTAAAATAACCTCATTGATTTGAAAAATAATTAATTAATGGTATTTAATTAAATTCCATCAAAGACTTCCTTAATCACACATTTTACACATGTATGTTAGAAAATATAATAATCAAATTTGGTTCTTAATTAAATCATATAAAATGATACCTACTTCTTAAGTTCTAAATCCTAAACAATTATTAAATTTAAAGAATGTATCAACAAATAATATTACATAAAGGTTGTTATATTGTAATGAAAAACAAGTGAGTATCTACAGATTGTTTTGTTAAACATGTTATTTAGTTAAATTAAGTGGGGTTATACAACTTAAGTGTTTGTGAATAAATCCAGTTTGTAGAGTATTTTGATTTATAATAAAAGGCTTGATTTAACATATCAAACATTATATTGAACATTTTTGTACATAATAAGATCATCGTTACTTTGAGATACTGAAAACATCTTTCAAAGTATTTGTTTTATCCTTTTTTAATTTAAATATAATACATGCCTCAATACGCATTTTAGTGGAATTCTTTATAAACGTATAAACTGTGTATTAGAAAAATACTGAGAATAATTATTAAATGTTTCTGAGAAAACCTTGTGGGTTATAAGTTAAAAAAAATGTTAAAGGTTTAATGCTAAAACGCCTTGAATGTATCATAAAAATAAAATACCTACCTATATACACACATAATATATAAAACAAAATATAATGTACACGACCAGTCTTTTTTTTAGGTACTATAGATATCAGTACACAACTGCTTTTGGTTCGTAAACAAATTGTACGTGTACTTACCGACATTTCGATGCTAGGGTGATCAATGAACACCATTTCAGACTCTTCGCCATCCAGTAGTATGGAAACTGTTTTTTCACCAAACTCGTCATCTGCAAACGTAATTGACAATTTACCATAAAAAGGTATACATTGTGCGTTTCTACTATGTAATAATACATTATTCATTCGGTGCTTTTATTAAATCCATTTCGAGACAGAAAATAAAATTTACCGGAGTTTCCGTTCCCCGTTCCAAAGAACTTCATTATACCATAAAATAACGTACCTAGGTACATAATATAAAGCCCGTCATTCAAAGGCCAACGTGTGTGCAGATGGACGTTTACCTCTGAGTTTACGTCACTTCAAAAACAATTCAGAAAAAATAAATAAATACAAATAGCTGGGATAAAGTGGATTGCAACGATTTTATTGGTAACTTGACATCACTTCGAGTGTTTTTATTAGGCATGTCTTCTGCAATAATACAAGGGATTTTGTTTGCTTTTAAACGAACATTTCGTTATCGCTAAGTTTACTAACATATAACAAATAACAACGACCAATATTATAATGACTGACTTACGTGACGTTGAGATGTATGATATAAGTATATATAAGGTACTAATAAAATGCACTTTTATAGTACGCATATATACAGGTACCAACAAGCCTATGTGTACTCGTACTCTAATTTTTTTTTAATGTGCATTCCCTTAAATGATAATATTGGTATTTCCAAGCACCGAGTTATAAGTAAGAAAATTATTATTCAAACCATTGAATAATATTTTATTAATAATATTTCTTTTATATTATTTCAATTTAATTTTAATAATTAGGCTATTGTCAAGAGTAATTATCTGATTTTCATTTCATTTTTGTTTTGAAATAAAGTTATGTATTATAATCAATATTATAAAAAATAGAACTCAAAATTAATAATGATGAAATAACTCAACAAAAAATGTAGGTATACCTATGTTATAATATGATTACTATATTAATAATAGCATTAACCACAAAAGCGGCTTATTTTCGCTGTTTGATATAGAGATAGGATCAATAAACTATATATATGCAAATCATAGACTTCTGATCAGTGGAAGATTCCACTACTCTAGTTAAGTTGATCTCAAATAGTTATTTCTAGGCACAAGTCTAATTTATAGTTGCAACACAAATAGCTGTTCTTTATTAACATATTATCTACCATTGTTACAGAACAGATAACGTAAACAATACTAAAAAATAATATATTATTGTAATGTATTGTACCTTACGCCATTCCAAATTGAACCCGTTTTTGTCCAACCGGACATTTATTTATTGAAATAATGTTAGATAACAATCAGTACGCGAGTAATTAAATTGAATTAAAACATTGGCCGAAATTCACTATAATATTCTTTCTACGCCGAAACTTGCATGTTACAGGTTAATATTTTGTATTGCCAAGTTGTTATTTGTGGACCCAATAATTAATTCCATGTAATTATTTAATACGCTAGAGATTACTGAAAGGTTGGATTGGGTTTATTATTATAGTCTTACCTATATACCTAGGTACCTAATAACTACGTAATTTAATTTGCAAAAATATAATTATTATTTTATTATCTTATACTCTACCTAATTGCTAGTGCTACTAAAGAAAAACTATCAATCAATCGATCCTAATGTAAGTATGTTTATTATTATAATACAGAGATACTTTATAAAAAACTTTATTAATATCAATTAAAGTTAAAATTAAAATTTCAGGTAAAAAGGCTTTACAAGCATTTTTTCATATTTAGCTAAGACTATAAGATTTATCAACTATGATAAGGTTTAGAAACACATATATACTTACTACATAAATATTCGTATACTCTGATGATTGAAATTTAAAATTATATTAAATTCAGCAAAGAAAAATATGGTTGTCTGCCAGAAAATAAATGCCATTCTCGCCACGAAAAAGTGTTAATAGTATTTTTAATACTTTTTTTTATGTATTGAATACTCAAATATTTTTTAAAAGAAACTTTTATAACATTGCATTTAAAAACTAGTGAAAATACAGAGCCCAGTAAAAACGTTTCACATAATTTGAGATTATAATTTAATGCGGGATTAAAATAATTAATCAGTCACCACTCGCCACTCACTACTACATTTATTGAATAATATACCTACATAAATGATTATAGTATACGTAATATATACAACCGGCTTTTAACACTTTCTCACTTTATATAGTGATACATTTATAGATAGGCCGTTTCAATTATTCTAAAAGCAATTAAACCTTTGATCACGCATATAATTCTAAGCCCAAAAGACTCTTAATAATATAGTTGGTTAAAAAATAAGGACTAATACTCTCTCAAATTTATCCAACATTATTAATGATTTTGTTATTTTATCTTGCATAACATACAAAATAATATATTATTATATATTTTGATCGCTGTTGTTAAAATAATTGTAAAGGATGGTATAGTTGGAATAATCAGCCCCCCAGGCAGAATTTCATAACGATTATTCCTATTATAATTATAATATTTTTAGACAGCAAATTTCTGTCTGGGTCCATCATCATTTAAACAACCTTTTTTATTAATTGTAAATAATTTACTTATGTATAGATTTTAAATGCTCACCAGTGTATGAATACTGCAATACTTACACATGCACAATGCACATGATTATGAGTATAGGTAGCTACTATCGTGTAACTCAGATTACTAAATATTTTCTTATAAGGTAGTAGGTCCCTAGTGTATTAAAAATATATAAATATAAGTTGAAATAAGAACAAATATTAGGTTTATATTTTTACGAATAAATACAAAAATATCAAACTTCTTTTGTAAATAAAAATTGTTATTTGTATAACTGTTACTTAAATAATAATTTTGATCGTTGTACATCCTCGCCTTTTATTTCTTATTTATATTGCAGGATTACAGGTGGGCTTTAACAATTTTTTATTTAATATTTCACCTATTCGAAATAAAATAAAATATGGTACCAAGCATATATTTTACGAACACATTATTTTAATTGTCTAAACCTATGTTTATTATGTAAAACATATGATAGGTACAAACTAAATACATGTATTTTTTAGTGTTATGTTTATGATAACCTATTTTAAACTCACTGATACATAATAACTTTATTACAGTTCATAAATCTATGTGGCTGTGTCTGGTAATTTTCAATCTGTTTTCCTTATACTGGGTGAGTCATTGCCCCCAGGGCCCCAGTTTTCTTGTTTTAGCTGTACGGTTTACCAAGAAACATATCACAACCCACACTGTGTATACTAATTTAATCTCAATTTATTGATCTTTAAATAAAAGTACGACATGAAGTAGAATTAAATCAGATTAATTCTTTCATCTTGGCTATAATAGAGTTATGAAGGAAATATTATTTCTTTCTTCTATTAAATAAAATTGAGCAATTTTATAATATGTAAGAGTATTTATATATATATTATATAAATAATTCACTGATCGAATGAGACATCAAAATGTATTTATGTATTTTTTAAAGCAAACATTAATAAAAAAATAATAACTTTATTTCATTATTTAACATTAAGTTTTCAAAAATAAAATAAATGTTCAGGTATAAATGTATAATATAGGTCTGCGGATAGAAAATAAGATTGTTAGTCTATTAGTTTTAGTTTATGATTGTAGAAGATGAACTCATATTGTAAAATATAAAGGACATTTAGGTTTTTAATCAATGCAAGACTGGGTATACTTTGTAAAAAAATCCCATAAAAAAGGCACGTGGTAAAACAGATTAGCGACGATTACCATAACTGCGCGGTTTAGATGAAAATGAAATTGGTCATAACTGCCACAATTTAGTATATTTTATGCAGCCAAAAAGCATATATTTAAGCCGCTATGTCTACTTTGATACAAATTAATTAAAAGTATGTATTGACAAATTTATATGGAGAATATTTCAAGTATTTAGAATTAATTTTGGCATTGACTGTATTAATGCTATTTTAAAAATCATCACCCGAAACTAACTTACTGATAGTAATATTCCATTTTAATATCATATTTTTTGACCTTCTATTATTTCGTTTATTGAACTTACAAGTAAACATTTTTATTACAGTTCAGTTAGGTTTATTACGATAAGTAATAATATTTAATGTGTTTAGCCATACACACAAAAGTACAAAACTTTACGGTATAAAATATAGTTAAATAGTTAACTTTTGCACAATAATGGGCGACGCCCTACATTAGGACCGAACACAAATCATAACATTGGGCAACAATGTGCAGTATCGTTCAGGTTTGATGATACAAAATTGTCTTTTGGTAAATTTATCAAAAATCTGAATAGGTATTCTTACCTAAGGATGCGTCGTACGTATTCATGTACTCAGATGTCATGAACTGCGAAACCAACGCCGTTTTGCCGACACCAGATTCGCCGAGAAGTACCACTCTGTACTTGGGTATCTCTTCGGCAACGCTAGACTCTCCAGAGCTTAGATCATTGTAGCTGCTATTTCCACCACAACACGAACCGTCAAAAGGTGATATCCCGCTTAGGTTACTGGGGCTATGTCTAAAAAATAAACGAAATCATAATTTGGTTACAAAAAAAAAAAATGAATGGTTTTTGACGACGAGCGCAAGTCATTATCGTTACGAGTAATCGTATCCGCGAAAACGATCGATATATAATAATATACTGTATGAGTTTCATAAAATACAATCCTAATAATATATCTAAACGAAATTGTTGGCGCCTCGGCTACCTACTTCTTTTATACGTACAACGTCATATTATCACTATATAATCCTGTATCTCGAAACACGAGAGACACCCATGGGAATATCACGCTACATCTACACCATAATATTACATAATATGTATATATACACGAGTGTTGCGATTACGACAGTGTGGTTGAACGAAATTGATTGATGTACTTTTATGTTGATACCTACCCACAGTATTACGCTTTTTCTAGGTGCCGGTTTTATCCGACGTTAATTGAAATTATGTCAATGCAGTAATTATATTGATCATCCTACGAAAAATGTTGACCGACATAAAATTTGCATTCTTACGTTTTTACTGAAACCCTGATAATTGTGGCCATTAGACATAGGTAGGTACTAACACTAACGAACCGTTAATGACTTCACGAGTTATGAATAAAAATGAGTTTTGATCTGATGCCTTACCCACATGATTTCATTGTGGGTACGCAGTACACACACATCATTTATTAAGTGTTATCGGTTAGTAAAATAAATAATGAAAATAAAGCTATTTGAATACATATGTAATTATAATATCCAATGAAATTATATTTTCATAATGTTGGATTATAACATTTTATAAAATAATAAATTAGGTGTTTCCATCTGTACTTCCAAGTACTCCTGATAAACGATAAAATTAAAACAACAAATTTATTAATTTACATGTAAATAAACTATTTTCATTTTCGATTCTAGTGGTTTTTCGGTAAATTTATGTTACGTATTTATGAATACCTACTGAAAAAAGTACAAAAAAATGTCTAATGAGTAATAACCCAAAAAAGTAATGAGCAAAAAAATATATAAATTGTTACTTACGTTTATATATTAAATATTATTAAATATTAATTTAGGTTTCAAAGAATATTTGTTTCTACCTATGATAATACTTACTATCTAGTATTTAAAATGTATATTAACAATAAGTCAAGATGAGTCAGTAAAAAATTACTTAACTAAATAAATATTTAGTATCTACCTATACAACTCTTATATGATGAAGACTCATAACTAAATTACCTGATTTAGCTTAATTGTATTTATTTTATTCAATCTTGTTGATGAAATGTTCAAAACAACATGTATACTTCACAACCGTTGGTCTATGGTTGAACCACTATACTATTTGCTAGTAATTTTTTATATAGATATTGTTGAAAGTATAAAAAAGCACGAAACTTCTAACTCGTCACTCGTACTCATTAAACATTTTAAAACAAGTGGAAAATTCTATAAGTGAATTTTTTACTAGCACAAACAGTACACTAATTAAAACAAAATGTACAAATGTTTTAAGTAAAAACAAAGGTTTTAAAAGAAATTTCAAAAATACTTCATGGTGGAATTAGTTTCAACGATTTGTTCATTGTTCAAAATTGTTCACCGGATATATTAGATGATTTCAAATATGCACCAATAATTAGTGTTGATGTTTGAACGTAGTTTTTACTTTACTTTGCATATTTGACATTTGTACATATCTATCATCATATTTAACTATTTAAGAAATATTGTATTGGTATCTGAAAATGTTTTGGCATATTAGTGCATTTATGGCGTTTTTGTATTTTATTATTTTTGGTCAGCGCTGTATTTATGGATAATTTAAATATTTCCCAAAATAAATTATCCTTGCTTAAGAAGTTTAATCATCGATTAATAATCACTCTGATTTTTGAAAATTGTACGATTAGAGCCTTAATGACGTCTAGACTCTAGATTATATATCTTCATTTAAAGTTAAAAATGCCTACTCTATATGAGACTCGTTTGTGATGATACGAGCAATATATTGTCAGGTAGGCAATCCACCTGTGGTGGATTTCGGACCCTGCTCGGTGCGTACTCTATATTATGACTAATATGTTATTTTTTTATTTATTCATTTTTATTTGTATTGGGGACAGGCCGATAAGTAGCTATAAAAGTGCAATTCAGCCACTTTAGTAGGCAATGTGTGAAAACTCAATTTTATGCAAGCTTATACCTAATCTGCCCAATTAGCCAATTGCAACCAATAAACAAAAAAAAAAAATACCAATTTCTACTAAATATTTTTATATTTCTCTTATAACCAATAGCAGCTACGTATAAACGAAAATTTCCTTCTTAAATCTCAAAACCTCTGTTTGAACACCTCCCCGGGTTGGCCCTACCAGGTCCAATCGTGAATCTAAATCATCCATGGAACCACTCAAACACACACAAATATGCTACATGCTAATTACATACAACATTTTTGACAAAAAAAATTGGAAATATTAAATGTGGGGGGGGGCTGAGGACACGTACGTGGTCGTGTCTGTGTATCGTGGACTCGCGGATATGTTATTTCGCATCCTAGTGGGACGAGCGCGAAACACTATAATTCAATTTTTTCTACATTTGCTTTCCGTCCATAATTTTATATGCATTCACTTCCTCGTTTTGGAACTATACATATTGTACATGCCTAAGATGTTTGTATAAATATGCACCATTAATGTATTTTTATCTAACTTTATTGATGCCCACGCTCCACATGCATACAGTATTAATGTATTAATGTACCTACTTATCGGTCTAATGAGTCCTTTATATAGACTTATTTTTATTATTTTGTACAGTAACTTTGACTTAAATAATAGTACTAATGAAAAATAGTACTTATTTCTTGTCATTATTATTCTCCTGTTAATCTCACCGTGGCTATTTGTTTGTTGATTAATATAAACTCCGAGGTATTTACAATTTAATACCCTTCAGAAGGTTAAGTCCGCAACTGCCTGAGAATCTTTTAGATACATTATATAGGATATAATTAAATATAGTTGGTCTTTCACTTGTTAACAGTAGGACAATATTTTGCGCACTATTTATTTGTTTTCGGCCATTTGTCATTAAATTTTATTTGGTTTATTCTAAGTTTGAAAGTACGACCAAATCATAAAATAATTTTTTAGGAAAAAACCTTTATAAAATATGAAACAATTAAAAAAGTTAACCTGCAATATCGACCAAAATCGTAATAATTGAAAAATCGGTAACCGAAATCGTTATAAACACCGATATAAATTATTTCAGTTTTTAGCTTTGGTAATAATATTATATGAATAATGGTTGACCGCATATTATTATACCAGACATGCAGTAAACATTTCAGTAATTATATTGGAACAGCTAAAATACAATATACCGCATATTAATAATGTACAGTTATGAAATAAATAATAGGATATGAAAAAATATATAAGTACGTAATATAATATGTTAGTTGGCTCATGTCTTGTGAAAATATTTAATTACCACGGTGTGCGCGTTACTATGCTTAACGGTGGTGTATAATTTTAATTACACGAATAAAAACTGTGATGTTGCTCTATACGGTTCCTGTAAACCAGGAGGTTTATTATGTAGGATTTGACACAGGGTTTTAACTTTTAATTAAATATATTCAGTCATATGCATACATGTTTAATGTCCATTACGACAACACTCACTTGTTCTAGCTATCAATCAAACATAAGACATAATAATTTAGCGGTAGGAGAGCTGGCAGTAAATTGATGCGATCGCTTAGACTGCCAGAATCGGTTTAAGGGAAAAATGTCTGATGTTTATCGTCCAAAGAAAAACTGCAGACAAAAAAGAGAAGAATGCAAGAAAAAGGAGTTTTAGAAAAAGCTTAATGTTGTGCGTTTCCATTTCATCTAATAAAACAAATTGCATTGTTCAATCTATTAGAAAGAATTTCAGTAACATAATGAAGACATTTTTTCTGCATTAACACCCAAATTAATAGAGTAATACTCGACCAATGCGGTGTTCAACATAAATTATAACTAATTTGACACAATATTATAAAAATGGTTTTTCGTTAAAAATATACTTAGAAGGAAAATTATATAACATAAAATAACGTAAAAACTGTCAATAATAATTGTAGGCAACCGTACAAGTCAGAAATTTAAAGGTTAGAAAAAAACTGTTTAAAAAATAAACAGGAAAAAATTGTGAATTTAAAAAGGAAAAATATATTTTAAATATGCACTTTCATGTGACTAATCGCTTGAACATAAACGTATGTATACAGTATACATTAGAAATTAAAATATTGTTCACAGTTCACTATGATTCTTCATACTTATGAAATTATGTATAATAAATTTAAAATATTGACCGATACGGTTACAAAATACAAGTTGTTCATCAAAACTTATTACTTATTAGTTGGAGACGAATGACATAAATATTATTTCAAAAATGTAATGCAAATATTAATTGTAATACATTATTTAGCTATAAAAACTATAGTATTCATTTAATGTTTATGTTCATGGGTCATAATTGATATAATTTACCTAACAAGTTATTATTAATAGCAATAATATGTGTTGTCCATTTCTATAACTAAAATTAATTTAGGTAGATACTAACGTTTGGAAATATTTAAATTACTATCAGAGTCTAATGGCCAGTTGTTATTATGATTACTATGAGTGTTGATTTTTATATTAACTTAGGGAATAAGTCATAACTCATTAATAATGAAATTGCAATTTTTAAATCATTAACTGCACATTTTTTTGATTTTTACTGCATAAAAATCCGATCTCTACTCGTTATAAATGTTAATATACGAGTATAACAATATTATGACTTTATATTGAGAACTTCACATCCAATACAAGGAGGTGTGCATTAATTAATTTGTAAATGTATAAATTTACCTGTAAAATATAGTCTTGCGATGAATAAATAATACAAATAATATAAATACTAAATATGTAGGCACTAAATTGTATTGGTATAAAAATAATATAGCTACTATATATTAACAATAAATTACGTAATTTCAAAATGATTGTTCGTTGTTTTTATAATTGTATATAATTATTATTTTCTCATAAAAGTTCAAAATTATATTTTAATTGTGTTTACAGTTTGATGAAGAAGAAAATATTTTTAAAAATATCAAAAAATATATTTTAATTTATCCGTTGGCTTGGAATATATGAATAACATTTTATTATTAAATTAATATAAAATTAATGATTCACAATCAATACACCTTATACGGTTTTTCATTATTGTTTACCCAATGCCGCCAAGCCTTCCGGCAAAAGAATCGTTAAAAATATTTTGGAATTCTCAGGGTAGATGTTTGTGTGGGTTGATAAAATTGAATTATTTCTCGTTGTTTTATTCAATCTGTGTAAATTAAATATTTCATATGAGTCATAATATTCAGTGTCCATTAATTATTAAAACACTAAAAAAATATATTTTCTTTAAAAAACAATAACAACAAATGTGAAAATAACATTGAATGAAAAAAAAAATGTAGAAATTTTTAGCTTCTGAGTGGGTCAAGGGAAGGAAGTATTGGTTTAACGATTATTTTTTTTTTTCTGTCTATAAACTTACCAAATGTTCCAAGTTTTTTATGTGATAGTTTAAACTTTTGGTTTAGAAATAAAATATGCAATATAGAGAAGTACTTAAGAATGAAAAGGTACAGTGTGACTTTTCAAAAAAATCACTTTTTAGGCTTCAGCTAATTATAAGGCAGTAAAATTTTCTGAATTTTGAACCATTTATGTATATAATTCATAATTATTCTACTAATCATGTCATTTTTTGAGATTTCTATAGTATGAAAACGTTCAAACTTCAAAGTATCAATCTCAAATAGTCAAATATAAATTTGAGATGAAAGGTTTTACCAACATTATTCTTTGCGGATGACAACATTTTACTAATATTAATATATTAAATGTCTATACAACAATATTATGCTTAAGAAATTCATCAGTTATCATTGTTAGCATTCTCGGAATCCCACTTAACTTCCCTGCTAGCTAGGTATGAAACTATAAACTAGTATTACCATTACAGTTGATAAATGTTCTATCCTACCTAATTTTCACTTCAAAAAGATCTTATATCAATGAATACATTTAAAAAATTCTAAATATTATATAAAACCATTTCAAAGTAAAAAATAATAACTTTAACTAACTATGTACAACTTTTGAATATTTACTTGTTAATTTGCTTGTAAATAATTGGATTTCTTAAATTCAATCAAACCTAATAAAATTACAGTTCATAACTTTCGCTTAAATAAATAGGTATCTAATATAATTTTATTATAATTCGAATTACAAGATGTCAAATTACGGATTTCAGAATTTTAAAATACGTTTCATGATCAATTTACAAACATTAAAAAAAATATTACAGGATAATAACAAGACTTAAGTATGGGTAATTACAAAAATGTATTAAATTCGTATTAGATATAAATTAAACTTAAGTTATACACTTAAATATCAGTCATCAATCTAAACTTCTGAAGATTGGGTTTCAAATTATTTAATTATCATCATAATTATTTACACTTTCTATCTGTTTCAATTCAATTAAAATTAACATTAAGTATTAAATTAGGGATTATCATCCAGTATTTTTCAAAATACTACTAAAAAACCACAAAAAAAACACACATTTAGTTACTTTGTCGAAATGTATTAAAAATTAATTATATTAAAGTTTTTCAAATGTCTTTGATTGGTTTAGTAGGCATTTCATGAATATAACGTTCAAAACAAACTGTTTCATATGGTATTTTTCATGTTTTCAATTACATTTTATTATGGAATTTACTTAATACCATTTCAAAAGCCTTATTTTTCAAAATTTACAAATATAATAAAATGTGGGTACTATGTAATTTACTAATCCCAATAATTTTCTTAATATTTGTTTCATACATTTTTCGATAAATGATAGGACTTTAGATTTTTATTAGATTTTAATAGATATAGTAGTTATTATAGTCGACAATAGCTAGGTTAACACATATAGTACAATAATAATCATACATTAGAGGAATTAACTGAATTAAGTAATAATTGTAGGTAAATAATATTAATAATAGTATATGATAACGATATTTATAGGAACATTAATTAATATTAAAGTAACTAGGTAGATATTTAAAGTTTAACAAACGACCATATAGTAAGTTGTCTATTGCTAAATGGACTGATGGTTATAAAATCATTAGGATGGAAACATGATTGCACGAGGTAGGTGAAAGCTTCTTACAAACAGGACCAACTTTGTTGGATGATGTGTGAGCATTTCATCGAGAGGTTGTATACGTATTCTTTTGTGCACTTATCCAACAAGTGATCTTTGCCGCATTTGACACATTGAGATTTGTGAGAACACTATGACTTCGTGTGACAGTAAGTCTGTCAGTTGTGACATTGAATTGGACCACGATTTGTTCTGAATAGTTTTTCATTCGAAACTGAAGTGTGTAGTAGCTCAGAGATATTGAAAATATATGAATTGTTATTTTATGTATTGAGGTCCACAATAAATAAAAGCAATGGCAGATTGGTCTTGTTGATATTTTCTACATATATTTTAACCCCGTGACTTAGTTCGATTAGACTGTTGTAGTATCTGAGATATCAGGACTTAGTGTCAACTGGAGCAAATTTCTAAATACAACCTGAAAGGGTGTGGAAAATATAAACGAAAATCGACATCAGTTTTTTCAGGTAATCAACGATATTTTTTTTTTTTAATTGCAAGGTCCATTTCATCGAATGATTAGAAAATATGGCATACACTTACAGGTTAAATCATTATTATCTGTGATTTGTAATAGTTTATTTTTTAAGAAATAGATTAGGTTTATGACGAATAATATTTTTGATATGAATTTTCTCAGAACGAGACGAATTTATCAATTTCTCATAGACTTCAGTTTTGTCTTAGATAGAAAAACTACATTCTCACTTGGGTTTTCGACGACTAATGGTATGGTTTTAGGTTTTGTTTCTTAAAATTATAATATAATATACATTTTATAATATTTGATTTAGAAAATGGGTTTTGACTTTTGATTATATATAGGTACCATGGATTTGTTTTAACTTCCCTACGATATTGTTTAAAATGTATCTTAAGAATATTTATACTCTCAGACTTTAAATACTAAGAACTATACACTTGAAAGACAATATTAGTCTTACGATTATAGTTTTCATCCACCAGTACACTTTTATGTTTTAAATTGATAATCATTAGGTTATTTCTGGGAAAAAAGAATAGAAATATATGTGTAGATATAATATTCACTTGCTAGTTGTTGAATTGACGCTGGTATTACTTCTGGATCTTCTGTTTATAATACTATCACCACAATTCACCACGCCACCTTTATTAGTTATACTAAAAGTACGGAGTCGGTACAACTCGTCCCCAGACCTTGGATTGTATGGTTTCTCTGGAAGACTGCAAACACGAGGCCTTACGTGATCCGGAACTGAAAAAAAATGTATCAATAGATATATTACACGTATGTCATCACAGTAAAGATTACAATAAATACCACCAATGTAACATAAATACACTGATCTCCTGTAATCCAGTAATATTGCAACTAAAATAAACTCTAGTACTACGCCGATATCTTTTCTTATCCCACTATCTAATGTACTCAACAAAATCCATGTACGTTAGCTATATAAAGAGAAAAAATGTTCTGACGTATGATGTTCATAAATAACATAAATGTGTGTATAAATTGTATTGCGTCTTATTGTCAAAGACAAATGGGAAATAGGTACTCCATCTCAAAAAGTAAATATAATTTCACAATATTTTCACAGAAAAAATATTTAATTTTACGTGTCTAACATTATCGTGTATAATGTATTTACTATTTAATACTATGTATAATATGTAAATTTCAAAATTATTATTGTCATTTTGTATAAATGATGAATGCCGAATCAAATTAAACATTTTAAAGAAGGCAATTGATCTTATCTTAGTTTATTTTCAGTTGCGTGAAGCTAATCAATACGTTTTGACTTAAAGGTTCTGCGTCTAATTATTCTGGTAAGCTATTTATGTAGTATAACAAGATAATAATCATCTTAAATTCATTAAATCCGTTTTGTCATCAAAACTCGGTCAACAATTAAATTATCTTTTATAATGAAATTAAAAAATTTACTAAGAAGGATAAAATATATTACTTTTTGCAACATTAAGTTTTTTTTTATCCTTATCAATATAGTACAATATATCTAAACTTATAATTAATATTATAAAGAGGTGAAAATTGTTTGCATGGGGTAATCTCTGTAACTATTTCTTTCACTTTTAGAAAGAATAAGATACACTATCCCTGAATAACTTAGTAACTAGTAACAGATATAACATAGTAATTTAAAAATACACGGTGGTTATTTAAGAATGCTCATCTTATGTTTATGTTTATGTTTAAATTATGCATATATACAAATTTTTGTGTGATTTTTGAAATTTTTAAATACACTTGAATACCATATTTTGAATACATGGAATTTCTTGTACCATTCAAGGATGATCCTGTGATAAAAAAAACTTTTGTTTTTTAAATAGGAACCCTCTTTTTTATTTTCTACTATTCAGATATTTTTTTGATAATTTATTTTGATGTCTATAAATCAAAATTCGACCAAATAGTTTTTAATTTATATAACTTTGTGTTATAACTTTTTGAAGATAAAATGTGGTAATGGTTTAAGTATATATGGGGCTTACATGATTTGAAAATCTTAGTAATTACTATTGATATATCAATATAAATTTTTTTTTTTAAATGGTCAAGGAATTTTTCAGGTAAGTGAATACATTTAATTTACTGTTATGGTGGAAATAAACGATTTCTGGTGGAATCATCTTTATGTGTATGATCGATTTTATCGAATGTTATTCGGCATGAATAAATATATTGAACATCGTAGGAAAATATCAATATTTGTACCCTATTAAATTTGAATGAGGAATATCGTCTCTCTAGCAGTATCAATTTAATCTGGAATTTAATTTGGTGAATATTTGTTTGAATATATTGACACGTGAAAACCAAAACTTGCGCATTTGGTATTGGTACAGAACTGTCAGACTAACAGAATGGGTTACAAAATACAAACAAATACACATTTCAATATATTTGTTAAAATTTAAAGTACCTACGAATAATAATGCGATAATTCTATACTAATGTAAAAACAATGATGTATAAATTATAAATTATATTTTCAACTACCTAACAAAAATGAATTCTAAGGGATATTTTTTTGTGTGGATGTGTAAATACTAGACCGTATTTTTTATGTAGTGAATATATCTTTCACCATACCAACTCACGAGTCACGACCTACGCACATGACGTATCTTCGAGTAGGTAGATAATTATTATAAGTGTGAATATTACTCTATGATTTACACGACAAAACATATTTTACAAGTTTATCGGACATATTTTCAATACACATAGATAAATATACAATGTACATATGTTAAGTATATATTTAATGCTTTTTTTCTTTTTCAGATCTAGTAGAAATGTACGCATCTATTAAATTAAAGAGGACGCCTGAATTAGTTGCGTGTCCTGGCACTCAAATTTACGAGCTTTTAGATAACAGACTGCGTAGGTTCCATAAATTATATTTAACCGGTGACAACGACCCGGAATATATATTTTGTGTGTGTGTGTGTGTGTGTGTGTGTGTGTGTGTGTGTGTGAGTATGTGCGTCTAAAGGATTTAATAACATCGAATATTTTTCTCTATTGGTGAGGTCCTTAAATATAAACAAAAATAATATGTACGTTAATTATTCAGGGATAATAAAATAATAAGTAATCATGTGATCTGTCTTGACAAAACTAAAAGATATTAATACTAAAAAATTACAAAGTTATCCAATATTGTCTCGTCGTTTGCAGTCGTCAAATATAAACTAACATGTTTTAAATATTCTCCCATTTCATTAGGGTAATTCATAGAAATCATACATCGTAGAAATGCTGTTCTATGCACTTGTGTGGTAATAGTTTTATTATTATCAATCAAATGGGTTTTCATATTATAATTTATAATATACATAATGTAATTGTTTCTAAAAAATTATGCTATGCTATTAAACTATTTATAAACATTACACAATATCGAATTATACATTTATATTAGACTTTAATCAATATTCACTAATTTCATTAGATAAAAAAATCATTATACTTTAGTAGGTAAATATTAAATTTCAACTTACTAACTCAGTATCTACCGGCAAAAGGTTTACAACAATTAAAGAGAAATTACGATTAATTTCAACATTTCTTTTATAAAATTATTATGTCCATTATATATAAAAGCATTAAACATTAATTTATAAATAAGTATTAAGTAAGTATAATATTATATTAAATAAGTTGAAAAATAGTTTTATAAACTAAAAATGTTTATTATAGTATTATTCTATACAACGTTATTCTTTATGATTATGAAAATATTCATTCTGACGAAGTTTAGCTGATTATATAAATATTTTTATGAATATCAGGTGACATAAGTATAAAATTATAACTTTAAAATAAGAATAAAATTAGCATTAATTTGATATAAATTTACTTTTAAAACAATTATAAACTAATTATTATGATATCGTTAGCATACCTATTTACATACATAATATTATTATTTTTATTAAATAGTTAAATTTTAGATATTTATTTTTAAATGACCTAAAGGTCTATATAAATATGTTTAACAATTATATGTATATATATTACATACTAGATAAATTTTAGATTTGAACAAATAAATCTGATTTCTTGTTATTTTTCGGAGTGTGATTGATAAAAATATGATGTAAATTAAAATACAAATAATTAAATCGACAGGACATCCATCATGTTTATTCAAAATAAATACATTATTCATAATTTTGATTCTTCGAATTCATTTTTAGAAGTTATCAAGACAGCAGAGGAAATTGTGTTTGGATAATATTCTACAATCTTAAGTCATGGAACATTAAGCTCAAACAATAGACTTCCAAACATTATGCGACATACCATTATACTACAAAATGGATAGGTACTGTACCGAAAGCAAACAATTTTGAATTATACATTTCCTCAATAGTATAGTTTGCAGAAAATCTTAAAAATATAATTTATGATTTAACAAAATACCTCCAATAGATACATCGAATACAACAGAAACACATTTGACTGATTTTTTTGAAAGTAAATAAAAATATATTGGGACAGTGTCTAGGACATAATAACTCAATGTGTATTTTTTTTTATGTTTTTACTTATTTTGCTTGTCAGGTGAACGTCTCTACGAGCGACTACCATAATTCATATTTGTACAACAAAAGAAAACGGACCTTCGAAACGCAAACGTTTATTACTCATCATCCCAGGGTTTTGTATTTTCGTTCACGAAGATGGTCTACAGGTGTTGTGGTTACATTGGATTCCATAATAAAAAACCTACACGCTTGCAAAAAAAAGATAAAGGGAACCGCTTAAAAAAAAACGGCTTTTGAAGTTCAGAGTTTCTCTTTATAAGACCAAAATCAATATTAGCTCAACCTTATACCGCAACGGTTTAGTATATTATGTATTATTTTAGTCATATGAAAAAACTGCAATTAAAAAATATGTTTTATTTCTGGGTATTTTTTGAGATATGATTGTTATCAAATATGATATTGAGCTACTACTCAAGTTGATTGAATACTTTTAAATTATTTTTGATCTTTAATAATCTGAAAATAAACTCAGTAGATACCCACTTGTGAATGTTATATACATTTAACCATTTACAATATATGTGTTGGATTATAATATAAGCTATTATGATAGGTAAAATCAAATATTAGAAATAAATATGAAATATAACGCACATTACGAACGATAATTTAGATGGTCATGACAATACTGACGGACTTTACGCTTCATAGGTATGTACGAAAGAAATAGTATACGTATGCATATAAAATATGTAAAGCTATACGCCAATAATTCCATAAACATTTATCACAATATTAGTTATTACTATGAATATTGAACAATGGCGTGGCGTGCGAATTTCGTCAAATTATGAAGCACAACAATTTATATTAGTTATTATAAATACTTAGGTGTATAATTAGTAATTACGTATTTAAGTATGGTAAGTGAGCACAATTTTCTTAGTGTTTACTTAAGTCTTAAATTATATGTGCCCATAGTCTCCAGGACACCCACGCACCACCTTTTAAACTGAGGCACATGTCTCAAATAATGTCCTTTGTCCCGCCACTGTTGAACATAATCATATATCTATTAATTTGTATACAAAAAATACGCAGCCATAAAAAATATATTGGTAAGTATGAAACAAGAGTGACCTATTATCTCGTCATTTAATTACTTACCATTGTTCTTCCGAAAGCCTAAACAACTTACAAAGGCAGTATTTTCTGTTACCAATACACTAATACGTTTATGCTCTGATAGTATTATATTAACTATTGTTCAAACGAGCTAAATAGTATTATATGGTAGTAGGTACCTGCAAAACCTAGCTTTTTTTATGACATTCCATAAATATCTTTGTTTTATTATTATAATTATAATAACCAATCTTTCATTATAATAATGATATGTTTATTGACGCCCATTTTTAGGGCAATAAGGTGTACAATAAATTGCTTACCTATAATGCTATTGTGAATTGGACACAAAAATATAAAATTTGCTATATTATTAAATACTAGCTGCATAACCAAGCTTTAGCCGGGAAAAAATGAACAAACATAAAATAAGGCTCTATATCGGTGTATCTTGGTTTTAGTGAGAAGCCCTTAATTGCAGATTTCGATACACACAATATTGCCTACATTCGTTGTCGCAAAATTATCTACATAATAAAATAAACAGCATGTAAATTCAGCCAGTAGTTTCCGAGATTAATCTGAAAATAAAAATGGCTCTTCAACATGCTATATTTTATACTTAAATTACTATATTACATATTATGTTACTCAGGACTAATATATTTTTCTAATACTGAAAGGATTTATAAAATCAGTTCAGTAGTTACAGAGATTACCCCCTACTTACAAATAAATTTACCACATTATAATATTAGCATATATATTATATATATATTATAACGATAAGAATAACGATAAATGTAATGTTGACAAAGTTTTATAAAAATATTTTATTATTATTATTTATTTATATTTTAGATTCTGAATGAAACGATATATGTATTGATTTTACACTGATGTATGTTTTATTTTTTTATCTTTGTCTTTCCTCATATTTGGGGCATTAAAAATGTTTCGATTTTCTACTCCAGCATATTTCCTGGTAGGATACTAGGATAGTAAATCTAGCCTGTACAGTGGAGAGGTGGGGGGGGGGGGACTAAAAAAATATTCCTCGTAGTTTTTCTACATACAAACAAATTTTACCTCTTTATATAATATACATCGATAACCAAAATTATCAATTCTTTTGAACAAAAACTGTTTATTTATTACAATGAGAAATGAGAAAAACGTATTAATCAAAATTTAAATATAAATTCCAACATTTAAATCCATTATCAAAATTATTGAAATAGAAATTAGCAAGGCTATTACACATACCCATAGAATACGGCCTTTGGGTTCATTAAATTTTAAAACTATAGCATTGCGTGTGCAATGGCTCATTAATAAGGTAATCTCAGACCTGGTGCGGTAATTACAAAGCATAATATTATGTAGGTATACAAATGTTTTTTAAATTATAGTGTTTAGTTATTGATAAGGTTACTTAGGTTAGTGTAATAAGTTACATGGGTAGATAATACACACCGAATAAAATCATTTTCTGAAACACTTACATGGCTAAACGTACAACGAACATATAAATACGATAAATAAAAATCCATTAAATATAATGTTTGGATATTTTTTTTTTATTGATCCTTAAAACCGGTGACTACTCTCTCTCCAGACAGATATCTGCCCGGAGAAAAGTGCCATCCATGACTGAGGTTCGAACCGGCGAACGTGCGCGTTGCAACCGACGCGTCCTGGATATTTGTATGATTAACGTTTAGCAATAATACTATAGTAAATACGTATGCGTGAAAAAGATTATTTGAGTGCGCTTATTAATTATTTGTTCAGTTCATATAGAAAAGCAAAATGACGGGAAATGATATAAAATAAACTCCTATAAAAGCAACAGTAAATCACCATACCACAAGGGTAGATGAACATGGTTATATTACTTATTAACGCACATCATAAATATAATACATAGAGTGTAAACTATCGATAAATAATATTTAAGTATGTTAACCGACGCAGATAGATCTATATTATGTATTTACGTGTATATACATACGTGTTTAGCTAAAATGAAAATCGTAAAATTCTGGTAATAATATAGTAGTAATAATACTACCTAACCTTTCCTTTAGCATATTTTTAGTAACTATATTTAATTAAATCACTGATATATTTGAAGTACATAAAATATTGTAATTTTTTTGATACCTTATTAAGCTTTTTTCACCGTCCCAAAATTATATAGGATTATAGGCACATATATTATATTATAAACTGCGTGCAATACACATGAACACGGACAA